GTTGCTGCACTAATTGAGAAATTGCCACCTTCCTGGAAGGAGTTTAAGAATTATTTAAAGTATAAGCGAAAGGAAATGAAACTTGAAGATATCATGTCCGGTTGAGAATAGAAGAAGACAATTGCAAATCTGAAAAGAAGAATGGTGCATCTCATTCGTTGGAATCAAAGGCCAACATTGTAGAAAGATGTCTAAAGACTAGCAAAAAGAGGAAGCACAATGGCGAAGGACAAACTGCTTCTTCAAAAGCTCCTAAAAAGTTCAAAGACAACTGTTACAATTGTGGTAAGGCAGGACATCAGTCCAAGGATTGTCGAAAGCCAAGGAATACCAAGGAAAAAACTCATCAGGCCAACTTAACAGAACATGACAGCCTTTCTGATAAGGTACAAGACATGAATCTTTCAGCGATCGTTTATGAATGCAACTTAGTTGGGAAACACTAAGGAATTGAGGGTGGATGCTGGAGCCACTCGTCACATATGCTCAAACCGCGGGATGTTCTCTACCTATAAAGCGATGGATAATGATGAACAACTCTACATGGAAAACTTTTCATCTTCCAAGGTTGAAGGACATGGAAAGATAATGCTGAAAATGACAAGTGGAAAGGAGCTCACTTTGAATGAAGTTCTTCATGTGCCCGATATTCAAAAGAATTTGGTTTTTGGTTCCTTATTAAGCAAAAAGGGGTTTAAGTTAGTGTTTGTTTCGGACAAATTTGTACTTACAAAGAATGTTATATTTGTAGGAAAGGGCTATCTAAATGAGGGGCTCTTTAAGTTGAATGTAACAACTATTGTACCTCCTATTATGAATAAAAGTACATCTTCTTCTTACTTGCTTGAGTCATTTAATATTTGGCATGAACGATTAGGACATATAAATTATAATACTTTGCGTAGACTAATCAAATTAGATTTATTACCAAAGTGTGATTGAGATCATAATCACAAATGTGATATATGTATAGAAGAAAAATGGCTCATTTACCCTTTCGTTCAATCGAAAGAAGTACCGAACCACTAGATTTAATTCACACTGATATTTGTTATGCATATCATAGTAGTGTGTATAGATTTATTGTACATAAGTTTGAAATACCCGACGTGCATGTTAACACGATTATTGAATCGAGGGATGCTACATTTTTCGAAAATGTGTTTCCTTACAACCTGCAAAGTGAATCAACTTACTGAAAAGACTTCGTGAGAAGGAAGAGGGCTAGGACGACAACTTCCTTTGGGCTTGATTTTCTAACATATTTGTTAGAAAATGAACTTCACATTTATAAAGAGGCTATGTCATCGACCGAAGCTTCATCTTGGAAAAAAAGCGATTAATAGTGAAATTGAATCCATACTACAAAATCATACATGGGAATTAGTATGCCATAAGTTATTGGGGGTGTAAATGGATTTTCAAAAGGAAAATAAAAGTAGATGGATCAATTGACAAGTATAAAGCTAGACTTGTCGTTAAAGGCTACAAGCAAAAATAAAGTCTTTATTATTTCAATACGTATTCACCAATAACAAAAATTATTTCCATACGTATGTTTATTGCGATAGCAGCATTGAATGGCTTGGATATACATCAAATTGATGTTAAAACGGCCTTTCTGAATGGTGAATTAGATGAAAAAATTTAAATGGAGCAACCTGAAGGATCTGTGGCCCCAGGACAAGAAAAGAAAGTATGTCGACTTGTTAAATCACTTTATGGATTAAAGCAGGCTCCTAAGAAATGGCATGAGAAATTTGACAGGGTAATGATGTCAAATGGTTTCAAAATCAACGAATGTGACAAATGTGTGTATGTCAAGAGCACTCAAAATGAATATGTCATGGTATGTTTATCCGTAGATGACATGCTAATTATGGATAACAATGATAACATAATTCAAACTACTAAAAGGATGTTAACAAGTAAGTTTGAAATGAAGAATTTGGGGGTAGCCAATGTTATATTAGGAATTAAAATTCTTAGGACATCTGATGAAATCATATTATCTCAATCACACTACATTGAGAAAATTCTTGATAAGTTCAAAAAATACAATATAATTCCTATGAAAACCCAAATGGATGCCAGTACACATCTTGTTTCTAACACTGGAGATAACAAGTCTCAATTGGAATATTCTCGTATTATTGGCAGTTTAATGTATGTCATGAATTGCACTCGACCTAATATTGCTCATTCTATTAGTAGGCAAAGTCGATATACAAGTAATCCGAGCGCTGAGCACTGGAGGGCAATTGTTAGAGTTTTAGGGTACTTAAAACATACCAAAAACTTCGAATTGCATTATTTGAGATATCCATCAGTACTTGAAGGATACTGCGATGCAAATTGGATATCAGATACTAAAGACACCAAATCAACCAGTGGATATATCTTTACACTCGGAGGTCTGCAGCTTCATGAAAATCTTCAAAACAAACATGTATAGCTAGATCAACAATGAAATCTGAATTCATTGCATTAGACAAAGCTGGGGAAGAAGCCAAATGGCTATGAAACTTTCTAGAAGATATTCCATCTTGGATTAAACCTATGCCTACTATATGTATCCATTGCGAT